GCATCCGAGATTCTCTCCTATTCTGGCAGAGTTTACCATTCCAGTAATAAGTCTCTCATCTGAAGTCCAGTTAAGCTGATTCAAAATGATTCGGAAACCTTACTAAAAGATTTACAACTTTTATATTTTGAGTGAAGAGATATTCGAAGTGGAACAATGTATAAATTGAGCTTTAAGTGCATGCACGTGCACATCCCAATGTCTACGCAGTTAAGAAGGGTGATCGAGAAGTCGACTTGAAGATCAAGTTATAATTTATTATTTACGTTTTGGTTTAGTATTTATTATATTTTATAGTTTAGAGTTATTTAGTGTTAGGATGTGCTGATTTATTAGTGTACTTGTTATAGTTTAGGTAAGAGTCATTTTCCTTGTGAAAAAAGAATCATTTTAGACCTTATAAATAGGTTACTACTTAGGCTTATTTGGAGGGACGATTTTGGGGCTCTTTGACATAACCCCCCATTACTTATTTTTATGGGGAGAGGCCCAAAATATTTTACACCATTTGAGAAAAGCCTATACTCTACTTTCAGCCACCTTTCTAAAAAAAAAAAAAGTTTCAGCCACATGTTTTCCAATTTTGCCCCCTGCCACCTGATCAGCCTATCACGCGCTCCTGCAATCGTGAAAAATCAAAATCACAAAAAAAACCAGAAAAATTGAAAAAAAAAAAAAAAAAAAACACTCTTTTTTCCTCCCCCAGAAACTGCCCCGACGGATGCTTCCTCCCTCCGCCGTAATCGTCTTCTCCCACCGCCATTTCCTGGAAAACGATGTCTTTGTAGTTGATTAGGGTTCCGGCTTCGATATAACCAGGAACAACGCCGTCGTTGTCGACTAACCAGGGTTCCGCAACATTACTACTGCAAAAAACCTCTGTCTCCCTCCCCCAGAAACTGTCCCGCCGCACGCTTCCTCCCTCCGCCGTAGTCGTCTTCTCCGACCACCATTTCCTTGAAACGACGTCTTTGTAGTCGATTAGGGTTCCGGCTTCGAATAACAAGGGACAACGTCGCCGCTGCACCAACGTAAAACAAAAAATTGATCGAACACAGAGAATGCGGACTAAAGAAAAATCAAGCCGTAAGTGATTAGGCTTCTACATTTTATTCAACTATTTAACCTAATTTTGCTGTGCATGACGCCATTTTTCTCGTTTTATGTAGGCGACAGTAAGAAGAAAGCTAAAAGGGATATACGGGAACATAATGTTGGTATGAAACCCCCTTAATGTTTAAAAATATTGATAGTCGATTAGTGTGTGGTTATAGTTTTGTCGTAAGATGGATGGATTGAAGTATGTGTGCTGATAAAATTGTGATTATATCATAGTCCAGTAGTGTGTGACTTGTATAGTCGATTTACTAGGCATCTGGTCGTATGCGGATTGAAGTATGTGTGATGAGCAGACTGTGATTATATCATAGTCGATTAGTGTGTGATTTTTGTAGTTAATTTATTAGCTTTCTAGTCATATGCTAGATCGATTGAAGTATGTTTGCTGAGTAGACTGTGATTATATCATAGTCGATTAGTCTGTGATTTGTATAGTCGATTTACTAGCCGTCTGTTCATATGCTAAATAGATTGAAGTATGCATGTTGAGCAGACTATGATTATATCATAGTCGATTAGTGTGTGATTTGTATAGTCGAATTAAATTTTATCTTGACTACTCTGGTGTTATCTGATAGTCTAACAACATCATTTTGTTTGCAGATGAAGCAAATTTATTGGTAGAACGTTTACTCAAGGAGGGCTCTTTGACGAGGCAGTATTGTTCAAGTCTGCACTCGACATAAGATTTCTTTAAATGTGTCGATCTCCGAAAGGAGCATCTGGATTTCCTTAAGCAGACTCATTTCTACCACCTCATCTGGATGGCGAAATGCTGAATACAGTTGGGCGAAAATTGCAAATAAAGGCACAATAGTACTTTTGCCTCTCTAGAGGTATCTCAAATGAAGATTTTTAGTGGTGGACCTATCCCTATATATTTTCCATATGAGGGGTGTATATCAAACGGATCCTTAAAAAAAATCAAATAATGTGTATCAATTTTTTTTTCAAATAAGGATTTATTAAAAATATTCTATTTAAAGTTGTGGCTCACATCTAATTAGGTTCAATGTAAAGGATTCCCCAATATCTTATATATAAAAGTAAGAAGCGTTATGGCGATCTAAGAAACTCTAATGTCATATTTGTAATTTTTTAATATTAATTATTAGTATTTTTTCATCTTCTATTTTTCAACTTTTTTTCTCTAATGACCTTCATAGCAAATCAGATTTGCAAATTCGCTAGCAAAATTCTAATGCGTTGGGGTATTATATTGTTTTACTCTTTCTCTCTTATACACATCAATGTGGATTTATTTGAAACAATCTAATTATCATAAATTTAATTTTTTCTTCCTTTTTGCAATCTCGTGCATTGCACGCATAGAATTGCTAGTTAACCATGATAATAAATAGAGATTAAATTATGTGTCGATCAGCCGATATTTAGTATAAATCGGATTCTACTAATTTTTGACACGTGGCACTCTTAAGTCATAACTCTAAATAAATCACGCTATTATAATTAGGGTCCGAGGGGTTACGGGTTATGCTGGGTTTGTTTTCTTTTTCCTTTTTTTTTTTTTTTTTTTTTTTTTTTTTTTTTTTCCTTTTTTCCAATTATTAGAATCCAAATTATATTTTTATTTAAACTATCCACGTGTCAATCATCCTATGACATCCGATTTTCCTATTAAAACAGGTCATTCGGTCTAAATTTGCACCCTAATAAATAACATAGGGTGAGCCCTTAAATTAAAAAGAGCGAATGGCAAAAAGGCCAATCACATGGGACTTAAATGCATTTTGGTCCACAAAAAAAACAGTTTCTCAATAAAACCCATCCCCATGTCTTTAGTCTAAAATACCCTCAATAATATAATTCTTATCAATTCCACCCATTATGCTCTAATTTCCTTAATATTACACATTGACCCCGGATTTAAACAAATATATCACATTAACCCCCAAAACTTTTTTTTTTCAGAAAATAATTTTTTTTCTGAAATATTTTTTTTCCGGCCAGATTCCGGCGTTGAATTTTTTTTTTTTTTTTTTTTTTGAAAACTTTTTTTTTCTTGAAATTTTTTTCCGGGCGGTCAACCACTGTTTACCGCCGGTCTCCGGCGTTGACTTTTTTTTTTTTTTTGAATTGTTTTTTCTTAGAAAAAAAAATATTTTAATTAATATTACTGTTAAATCCGTCGTGGGGCGTGGAAGGTTTTGATCCTTTTGTTCCGGGAGGAATAGCTTCTCATCATATTGCAGCAGGTGCATTGGGTATATTAGCGGGTCTATTCCATCTTAGCGTGCGACCACCACAACGTCTATACAAAGGATTGCGTATGGGAAATATTGAAACCGTACTCTCCAGTAGTATCGCGGCTGTCTTTTTTGCAGCTTTTGTTGTTGCTGGAACTATGTGGTATGGTTCAGCAACTACCCCTATCGAATTATTTGGGCCCACTCGTTATCAATGGGATCAGGGTTACTTCCAACAAGAGATATATCGAAGAGTTAGCGCCGGGCTCGCAGAAAATCAAAGTTTCTCAGAAGCCTGGTCTAAAATTCCTGAAAAATTAGCTTTTTATGATTATATCGGAAATAATCCGGCAAAAGGAGGATTATTCAGGGCAGGCTCAATGGATAATGGAGATGGAATAGCGGTTGGATGGTTAGGACACCCTATCTTTAAAGATAAAGAAGGGCGTGAGCTTTTTGTACGTCGTATGCCTACTTTTTTTGAAACATTTCCAGTCGTTTTGGTAGACGGCGACGGAATTGTTAGAGCTGATGTTCCTTTTAGGAGGGGGGACAGTAATATTATGAATATTATTTTCCCGAACAGTAATATTATTAATATTATTGTCTAAGACAGTTAAATTACTGTTGGAGACAGTAATGTAGCATCCAAGGCAGTAATATTAATAAAAATATTTTTTTAAGAAAAAAAAAGTCAATTAATAGTTAAATTACTGTCTCCGACAGTTAAATAACTGCTGGAGACAGTAATTTAGCAACGAATACAGTAATATTAATTAAAAATATTTTTTTTAAGAATAAAAAAGTCAATTAATAGTTAAATTACTGTCTCCAACAGTTAAATAACTGCTGGAGACAGTAATTTAGCAACGAATAAAGTAATATTCATTATAATATTTTTGAAGAAAAAATAAAAAGTCAATTAACAGTTAAATTACTGTCTCCGACAGTTAAATAACTGCCGGAGACAGTAATTTAGCAGCCAAGACAGTAATATTAATTAAAATATTTTTTTAAGAAAAAACAAAATTATAAAAAAAAAAAAAGTCAACGCCGGAGACCGGCAGTCTCCGGTGGTGGCGGGTCAAAATTGGGGTCAAAATTGAAATTAGGGTTAAAATTGGTTAATTGATGAAATTGAGCTAAATTGGGGTGTAAATCATGAAATTAAAGTTGAATTGAGTTTCATTGAATTTTGGGTAATTTTAGTATATATAAAGAGGTTTTCGTTATTTGCAAATAAGTTTGAATGGGGTGGATTTATTTGAAAGACAAAAAAATTGGATGTCCCTCTTTTAATTAAGTGCCCTTGTCATGGGCCTATTTGGCATTACCCCAATTAAAAAAAAAAAAAAAACGACCTAATTAGTAATTACCTAATAGAATTCTAATTCTCCTAGCATAATCCAACTCAAATCAGATACTAAGCTTATTTGTCGTTGCACAAGGCCATTGACTTATTGACTTGCTACTTAATTAACTATCAAAACAAGGAAATTAACTTATTATAAAAACAAACTAAGACACGCCTATAATAACCTAGCATAACCCTAACTATTCTAATTAATTATACCTAAACTCAACCATTAAAATTAAATAATTAAATTAAATATTATTTAGATCCTAATAGTAGTCAAATTGCAACTACTCTTCTTATATATATCCGTCCTCTTCCAAAGAACAGTACTTTTCATAGTACGCCAGCAATTTTCTCTGTTTTCTGCCTCGCTAAATATACACACAACAAATCCCTTTTTTTTTCTTTTGGATACTTTGTCTGCAATCATGTTGGTTTATCAGGATCTTCTTTCTGGTACTTTCTTCCCTTATTTCAACTGTTTCTTGTTTTTTTTTTCTTTGAAGAATTTGTTTTTAATTATGATTCAATGTTTACACAAAGGTTAACCTTTTTTTTTTCCAAATTTTTATTAATTAATTGGTGAATTTTCAGGAGATGAGCTTCTCTCCGACTCGTTCCCCTATACTGAAATCGAAAACGGGATGCTTTGGGAAGTTGAAGGGAGGGTAATTATATATCTCTTTAATATATTATCTCTATGAAATTTAGTAGATTTTGTTTTTCTTGAAAATTACAATTGAATAATAATAATATTTTTTATTGTTTGGAATTTATATATAAATAGTGGGTTGTTCAAGGAGCAGTAAACGTAGATATTGGGGCGAATCCTTCTGCAGAAGGGGGAGAAGAAGATGAAGGTGTCGATGATCAATCTGTCAAGGTTGTTGATATTGTTGACACTTTTAGGCTTCAGGTTAGTACCTTACTTAAAAAAATAATAACATGCATGCATGCTTTCTTTTCAACTTATAAATTGTGTTAATTATTTGTTATTAACTTATATTTTCAGGAGCAACCGGCTTTTGACAAGAAGCAGTTTGTTGCATACATAAAAAAGTACATAAAGAACTTGATCCCGAAATTGGAATCGGAGAAGCAAGATTTGTTCAAGAAACGGATCGAAGGGGCTACCAAGTATCTTCTTTCAAAGATCAAGGATCTTCAATTGTAATAATTCTTCTTATTATTCTCATTATAATTAATTTAATTTCATTTTTGTATAATTATATATTTAATTTATTTTTAATTTTGGGTTCGTAATTAACTACGTACACGTACAGCTTTGTTGGGGAGAGCATGGATGATGAAGGAACAGTGGTGTTTGCTTACTACAAAGAATCTGCTACCGATCCAACTTTTCTCTACTTAGCCTATGGATTGAAGGAAGTCAAGTGCTGAATTAATTCATAGCCATCTGCTTTTGTTGTTTTGAGTTTTTCTTTTTTATTATGGTTGAGTTGACAAGATTTCCAGTACGTTATGTTTTATGGTATAGTTTCAACTTTCAGTTAATAATCGATAAATTGGTTTATATAGGGATACATTTTCGGAATCTCTTTATGACTGGATGAAATATTCACTTGTTAATTATTTTTGATAAGTTATGATAAAATAAATAATAGTTAGTTAATTTTATAATTTAGAAACAATATTTGAAACCAAGAGAAATACAACTTATAAACATATAACTTCAAAAAATATATGAAAATATTAATTTATTATACTAACTAGTATTTTGCCTCGTGCCTTGCACCTTAGACTTAATACACATATATGACATGTACAATAGCAAAAAAATTGAACACCAAAAATGTAAAAAATCCACTAATTGTAATCTATATATATATATTTTAACAAAAGCATTTAATACACATACGTGAGCTATCCACTAATTGTAATATATATATATATATATATATATATATATATATATATATATATATATATATATATATATATATATATATATATATATATATATATATATATATATATATATATATATATATATATATATATATATATATATATATATTAACAAAAGCATTTAATACACATACGTGAGCTATAAAATAAGAGAGAAAAATTGACCGTGTTTAGTGGGGAAGGGGAAAAGAGGAAGAAGAAAAAAAGAAAAATAAAACAATTAAAAAAACACCAAAACGTGTTTTATAAAAAAAGGAAGAAAAAACAAATAATTTTTAATGTGCTATAAAAAAAGAGAAAATAAAGGAAACAAATATTTCACAAAAATATTATAAAAAAAAATTACTTTTAGGGTATCAGGGGCAAACCTTTCTTTTATATATAAAGATATACAAATAATCATTGGATTTACGTTGTTCATATTACTTGAATTTAGGAACATATCCAACAATTATACGCCAAATGGCAAAGAGGGACATGACAAGGGAATTAAATGCACATTGGTCCAGACAAAAAACAATCTTCCAAGTAACCACATTCCCATGTATTTTGTCTAAAATACCCTCTATAATGTATTTTTTTTATCAATTCCATCCATTATCCTATAAGTTTCTCAATATTGCACATTGACCCCGGATTTAAATAAATATATCGTATTAACCCCATTTTCATAATTTTTTGAAAAAATAATTTTCTTTTTCAGAAAATAATTCATTTTATGTTTTTTTTTTCCAGCCAGATTCCGGCGTTGAATTTTTTCCCTTAAAAAAATATTTTAATTAATATTACCGTGTTGGCTGCTAAATTTCTGTCTCCACAGTAGTTTAACTGTCGGAGACACTAATTTAACTGTTAATTGACTATAACAGTAATATTGAATACCAAAACAGTAATATTACTAACATTACTGTCCCAAACAGTAAAATTACTGTCTCATAGACTAAAACTACTGTTTGGGACAATAATATTATAAATATTACTTTCCCAAACAGTAATATTACTAATATTACTGTCTCAAACAATAATATTATTGCATGAGATAGTAATATTACGGTCGTAGGCAGTAATATTACGGTCGAAGACAGCAAAATTGCAGGTCAAGACGATAAAATTAATTAATACAGTAAAATTATTGTCTTAGACAGTAATATTACTATCCAAGACAGTTAAATTACTGTTTCCGAAAGTTAAATTACTGTTGGAGACAATAATTTAGCAGTCAAGATAGTAATATTTATTAAAATAATTTATTGTTTGAAGGAGAAAAAAAAGAAGTCAATTAATAGTTAAATTATTTTCTCCGGCAGTTAAATTACTGTTGAAGATAATAATTTAGCAGCCAAGACAGTAATATTAATTAAAATAATTCTTTTAAGAAAAAAAAAAAAGTCAACGCCGGAGACCGGAGGTCTACGGCAGTTGACCTGCCGGAAAGAAGAAATCAGAAGAAAAAAAAAGTTTTAAAAAAAAAGTCAACGCCGGAGACCGACAGTCTCCGGTGGTGGCGGGTTAAAATTGGGGTCAAAATTGGAATAATGGTCAAAATTGGTTAATTGGTGAAATTATGTTAAATTGGTGTGTAATCATGAAATTAGAGTTGAATTGGATTTCAAGGAATTTGGAGTAATTTTGGTATATATAAAAAGGTTTTTCTTATTTGCAAATAAATTTGAATGAGCTGGAATTATGTGAAAGACAAAAAAATTGGATACCTTTTTTTAATTAAGTGTCATTGTCATGAGTATCTTTGACATTAAACCTTTATTGAAAAATATCATCTACATAAATTCTTTATTTATACTTTTTTCGTTTTATGTTAATATTTAAAAACTTATTCGATTAGATATGCTTTTCTATTGTTACTATTGTGTTTACAATTTATTATAAATAATTATAAGTGATCCGGGCATGATTGTCATGTAAAGCTCATTGGGAAGAAAACTCAATTTACTCATCACCTTTCTCTATAAGGAATGGGCGGCTGACAGATGGAATTAGCTTTGCGGTTGGAGTGACAATAAAGACGAAAAAATCTGCAGTGACAAGGACCGGTGAACCACCCACCTGGGGTCAAAGAGTGGGGAAGGGCTTGTAGTGAGCCCTTATGAACGATCTCTCTCTTCAAGAGCGAGCTCCCATTCCACATAGTTAGGAGAGCTCGTCAGAGATCGTTGTCCACAGTCAAGAGCATGCGCCTCAAAATTAGGAGCTCGCCGATGATAGGCCAGAAAACCCGAAATGTTACATCATCCCCACGAGGGGGCATGGCCTTGAAGTGACAGTGGAGGACCCACCGCTTTACCTATAGGGACACGTATAAATAGCAGTCTTGAAGTATAAGAATGGCAACATATTTTTGCCATTATCATATATTCTCTTCTTCTATTCGAATACCCAACTGACTTGACCGTTGGAGTGCTAACGCCGGGAAATCCTCTTGGTATTTTTTTTTTTTGCAGATCTTTTGGGCTCTTAGGCTTTCTTCCTCGGGCTTTCCTTACGCAGTTCACCAACCCATTACATATTTTTATTTTTTTGTTCCGGCCATTCAGGTCAAATCAGTAAGAATGGAATATTTTTTTCAATAAATAAATATTTCGTTAAAGTTAATCAAATTATACACCAAAGAACTATAACGAGATGAATTGAAGGGATGAAGGATGAATATGAGAATATATACATAAGAGGGTAAAGCGGGGCTAAATAATAAGACGAGAGATTATTAGTGAGATTTGGCCTAACAAATATTTAAGCTAACTACCACGGAAATCAATCTGTGCAGTCGGGAGCAGCGACGACGATGGAGGTGCGGGCGGCTATGACAAACGAGCGGGCAGCGGCGACGCGTGAGATTCACGCGCTGTCTTCGGGCGGCGCGTGCAACGGCGGTTCCACGGCGGCGTTTCGACAATTCGACTCCTTTGTCTTCCTCCTCTCGGATTTCACCTCGTATACCGAATTCATCTGATACTTGGCACTAGACACACAAAAATCAGAATAAAACGGAAGAATAATTAAAAGGAAAAACTACCGAAGAACAAGACAGCGCGTGGGCGCCGATTTCCGGTGACGGCGGAGCGGCAAAGAGGGTAGTGGATGAAAGTATGAGCGTCTAGGGTTTGTTGTGTGTGTGTTATATCTTTTTACAAGACCTATAAATCTTGTATTTATAGTGTCTTGTATAAAAGCCTTAACGGGCTTAAGTTGGACCGGACCCACAACTAAAGTTCGTTAGTCTTTCTTCGCTCGTTTCGCATAACTCAATGATTGGAAAATTATAACAATTATATTTTCAGAATCATTGAAACGTCCTCGTCATTACTAATGCCAATTCTCGATTTCCAATTTCCAAAACTGGACACCCTAATTTAGTGGACCTTATAAATTTGGAAACTTCCCAATTTAAAACGTTCACTAAGATGTTCACCTAGTTCTTTCCTTTTCTTATTCTCATTCATAATTTCCAATCTGATGTATGGTCAAATTACAAAAATTCTCTCCTGTTTGGGTAATTACATCCACCCCCAGTTATAAATCTTCTTAAATGTCCACCCTTGTTGTTCCAAATTTAGTGGAATCTCTAAATTTAGTGGAACCCGTTTTATTCCTTTAGAACTCCACATTTTGAAGCAAGATGATTATAATATGTGTTTTTGGCTTATATATATCAGATTGTGCTGCATCATAAACTATATTTTTATACAAAACGAGTACAAACTAGAGCACAGTCCATAAAATCTAGATGATTATGTTGAATTTGACACCATATGGGTGGAGGTGTAAGAAAAAATCATAGGTGAGGAGTAGATGTAATTATCCAAACAAGATGAGCTTTTTCTTAAATTGACCTGAAAAATAATTACCGCCTACCAAATACCACGATATACCTACCAAACAATACCGAAAAATTACCGAAACTTTGGTAAACACTACATTTGATACGGTATTTGTACCGTACCACTATTATACGATACGGTAACAATATTGTATTTTCAATACCATGGTACTACCGTACCGTACCACAAATTTGAATTTTATAATTTAATTAATATATATTTGTTTTATATATATTAGTTAATAATTAACTAAATTTAAAATTACTACATTAAAATAAATGGGTCAACACTAAAAAAAGTTAAAATACAGTTCTTAAAAATTTATGAGACAACATTGAAGCTTACTGCAACAAAAAGCGTACATCCCATTTTGCTTTTATTGAAATAGTATAGCAGCAAATTGAGATGAAAAAAAATCATGACTATAATAATATTATTTTGCAAGGTGTGGCTAAATCAATAAAGTTGAAGTTTGATAAATATTCAAGGAGCTTTGGAAAATTGAATAAGATCATATAAAAAGCCAATATTTTTGTTTAAAGTGTTGTGTTTTTATAAACTTCGTCTTAAAAGTATAACAAATTAAAATTAACGGTAGAATACCATGTACCGATATAAAGTACTGAAAGTAACAGTATACCGAAGGGATGGGGACCCTAGGGGCGAGGGATTTCACCTTT